CTGTTCAGATTCACCACCGCGATGAACGGGTGTTTAGTATCGATATCCAGCACATTCCCGCTTGCTGGGATGTACAGCTAGCCAATGCAACAGCTCTCATTCGCCAAAGACATTCCCCACGCTCCGCGTTTATGGATGAAGCTGTCATTGCCGTTTCAAAATAGCCGACATTGTCTCTTACACATAAATGACTGCGCTGTACATGTAGTGCATCACACCAGCAATCTGCTGTAGATCTACAGACAGTGCATGCAGCGAGCCGAGCATGCGCACTTGAGTAGGGTACTTGACTCCCACGCGCGATCGCTGGTCATAACTGAGTCTGTACACGCGACTGTGTTCGTGTCGTTGTGACTTGCAAGTGCACTCTGTACTGCACTGATGTACTGTATGACTGGACAGGAACAATGCAAGTGCAGTTTTCAGTGCGTGGATTCGGCTACTAAAACATTTTGTGGAAGCAAACAAGCCTTCTTTATGATCTTGGTCATTTTTCTCAATTGACTCTGCGCTTCCAGCTAGATGTGTCCGTGGGGTATTGCCCAACTAGAACTGTAGTCCTCACATGCCCCAGGTCGCGAGGAGCTAATCACTTTTGTCAGCAGAACTCCTGCTCGGGACTCGACACATTTATTCCGTCCGATGTCATCCCCGCTGCGAGTGGGGAGCTTCATGCCCACTATAAAAGAGAACGTCATGATATATTTTGAATCCTTCATCAGAGAAAGCTATTCGAGCTCAAAACGACACAAGACAATGGCCATGATAAAGATACTCGTACAGATCGCGATGTGACTGGCCTCCAAAAGTGCTGCAAAAGACTTGAAGTATTTTTTCAAAACAAGATTTAATTGTGAAAAAAGCTGAGCGCTCGAGTGCGGCGAACACGGCCAAACGCCATGTTTACCTTGGTAACATGACGTCAGCCACATTATCACCATGGCGAGTTGCAGCGCTGATGTTGAAGCACAGCGGCACCAGAAAAGTGTCCTTATTCTACCTGAGTGCCGTTTGACTGATGGGACCTACACATGTCCAGCCGAGTGGCGTTCTCCGGGCACTTGGCTCACCTGGACCACCGATGACTTCTTCTAGCGATACACACAGGCTGCTGTTGTCAATGCCAATCAGAAGGTCAGCTGTCGACCAATCACTGAGCTTCGGGAACTGGACATTCTCCAAGTGTGGCCAGCTCTTCTTGACAATCTCCCAGTCTACTGGTGTTAGCGACCGAGTTACTGCTGGAACAGTGTTAGCACAGATGTCCACGCTTGTCTTTTTGGTCAAGTCAAACAGTGTGACAGTGACTGGCATACTCTGAAACGTTTCTTGGTGCCCATTCAGAGTAGACATCGTAATCTTCTTCGTCTCTCCGCGGAGACCAAGTGCACCTGCGGCACTTGCGCTGATCAGCGTCTGCGTCGCGCCGTCATCCAGGAACACATTGACCTGTATGGTCCGCTCGTTGTTGCTCAAGAACACTGACACAGTGCGCAGTGACTCTGGTGCTGCGCGGACATTACTCGCTGACATAACGTTGTCGCTCCCCTTCAGTGCTGAGCTCCGGTTCGCTGTGTACTTTTTCGAACTTCGGTTTACGATGCTGCAACCAATTCTGTGTGTCGATGCACTTCGATGCACTCCACACCGCATTGTCTGGTTCTGGAACACTGCGCTCCACAGTGACCTGACCCAAGGCATCGATAGCATAGCCTTTTTCTCTTTTGCCAGGTCCCATCGTTTATCAACGGTCTTTGCCTTGAAAGACGGACATTTCCAGACGGGTGTTGCTTGCTGCAAGCGGCACAGCTCTCGCTCTTCTTCTCTGCTAGGAAGACTCTTCCGGACGATTCTGCGTTTCTCGGTTTCTGGTCATTGAAACCACCACGTCGCTGTCTGGTGCTGGCAGTACTTGCGATGCTGTCAATGGTGAACAGTTCAAAGCCTTCAAAAACAAAGTTGCCTTTGAGCAATTTGAGAGCTGCCCTTTTGCGATTCCTTGTCCTGAGCAGGATTCTGTATTCACTTCTTTTGCGATTCCTTGTCCTGAGCAGGATTCTGTATTCACTTCCACAAACGTCATCAGTAATCAAGTTCTTATTCAAAGTTCTGCAGAATCTAGGAACTCAAGCGATTATGTTCTTGTCCACTTTGCAAGCTGATCAAATCGATGAGTCCCAGGTAACGTTCCCTTTTGAGGCACGCCACCCACTTTGATATGCTCTGAGCACTAAATGTTCAAAGCAACTTTGAGCGACATTCGGTTCGGTCCGCAATACTCAGTGATTCCGCCTTATGAAATAATAATTAACTGGAAAGTTTATTCTCTGGTTCTCTGGTGAGAGGATCTTAAGGGGGCACATCACCCAAAAATTTCATATGGCATTCAATTGACCGTAACTTTGGTGTTTCTCAGTGGATTTGAGTTAAATTTTGACCACACACTCCTGCCACTATGCTGGCCCTCAGGACATGATTTACAAGTTCTTGCGCCTCACTGACAGGCTTTCCAGGCCGGAAAAACTCAAATTTCCGGCATAGTGCCACGGTGTGCGAGCCACCCAGGAGCCAAACAAATGCATTTACATTTTTTTCACATTTTCGTGCCCATTCTGTCCGTGCGCGGGACCCAAACCTAAGACAAGTCCAGAAGCAGCCATGGGTGGTGGGGTAGGGCCCCTCTACGTGGCCCTGGAATCTGTCACAACGGAACGAGTGGGCGTTCTTTCACGGACGCCCACAGACCCAAGTCAATTTTTGAATTTTTTTAGGTTTAGCACGTGCTACGAGGTCGTACCTTTGATACAACATCCAGTGCTGGGACCTCCACAGCAAGCCATTTCCATAGCGCTGCACACCAAATCCAGGATGCCCTCAGAAACCGGCAAAGACTGCCACTCACGTTTCACTACTGCCTAGTACTGAATCCTACCTGACTTCTTGACACGACTCAAACTTGCCAATGTCACTAAATCAACGTCAACTACAATAATCAAGCCACATATCTGCAACGTCACGAGGGTGCTGGCAAAAGTCCTGCTGCACGGTGGCGGGCTTTGCCCGCCGCCGTGCATCCCAATACGTGGTTTTTTAACGTGATTTTTTGGACTTTTTTGGACTTGGGGCAAAGTTCTGCACACTTTCGCGTGTTTCCATAATACGACAAGTTGCGCACGGTCTGCTCACATTCAAATACAGTGCTGCCAACAAATGACAGCATGCAACAAAAAAATCTTTCCTTGCAAGGGCACATTTTCGGCCATAACTCTTGAACGGCTGGTCAGATAGGGACACAGTTTCAGAGAATTTGCAGCTATTCATGCTCTTTCAACTGACGTAGCACTCAATATGAATTTACAAGTTCTTGCGCCTCACTGACAGGCTTTCCAGGCCGGAAAAACTCAAATTCCCGGCATAGTGCCACGGTGTGCGAGCCACCCAGGAGCCAAACAAATGCATTTACATTTTTTTCACATTTTCGTGCCCATTCTGTCCGTGCGCGGGACCCAAACCTAAAACAAGTCCAGAAGCAGCCATGGGTGGTGGGGTAGGGCCCCTCTACGTGGCCCTGGAATCTGTCACAACGGAACGAGTGGGCGTTCTTTCACGGACTCCCACAGACCCAAGTCAATTCGATTTTTCAGCGAATTTTTGGGTGATGTGCCCCCTTAATGCATATGTGCAGCATTAGTATTCAAACATTTGAAGACAAATGGTGAATGGTGGTAGACCAGAGCAAACGGTGATTGGTGGCAGACCAAGCTAAAAGTATGGCCCTGATGCTACTTGTTCATCCTTAGTCACCACCAACTGCTTTGTGTTGAAGGACAGGAAGGATTTTCCAAATTACCTGGGCCATTGTCACCACCTATGCCCTTGCCACCATCGAAAGTGCACTTACACTTACACTCTCTCGGATATTGTCACCCTCATTTCATCTGTTTGTTGTGAATGTTTCACTTTTTCCCCTTATGTGTTCTCTCTGCTTTTTTTAATGCTGTCCGCATGCTACATTTGAGTGCTTATTCTCACTGTTTTATATTTGATATTCACTGGTTTGAGGGAAAGACACAAACGGGAAAAGTCTGAAGAAAAAATGACTGTCCACCAGGACTCGAACCAGGTACCCTCGCTTGTAGCTAGCGATGCTCTAACCACTGAGCTATGGTGTAGCTGTCATCCCAGCAGAGACCATTCAACATTTTCTTCAGACTTCGTAACTCACACTTCCTGTGAATCCACACAGGCGGGTGGGAAGCAGCCCTCACTGTAGCCCGTGTTTGTATTTGATATTGTTCACCTTCCTGCACATAGGCTGGTGTATTTGATATTGTTCACCTTCCTGCACATAGTCTGGTGTATTTGATATTGTTCATCTTCCTGCACATAGTCTGGTGGATTTGATATTGTTCACCTTCCTGCACATAGTCTGGTGGATTTGATATTGTTCACCTTCCTGCACATAGTCTGGTGTATTTGATATTGTTCACCTTCCTGCACATAGTCTGGTGTATTTGATATTGTTCACCTTCCTGCACATAGTCTGGTGTTTTATTTTTTTTTAAATTTTGTCCGCATGCTACATTTTAGTGCTAATTCTCACTGTTTTGTTCTTGATATTCACTGGTTTGAGGGAAAGACACAAACGGAAAAAGTCTGAAGAAAAAATGAATGTCCACCAGGACTAGAACCAGGGACCCTCGCTTGTAGCCAGCGATGCTCTAACCACTGAGCTATGGTGTAGCCGTCATTCCAGCAGAGACCGTTCGGCATTTTCTTCAGACTTCGTAACTCACACTTCCTGTGAATCCACACAGGCGGGTGCACATAGTCTGGTGTTTTAATTAAAAAATTGCAGTGTATCCAAGCGATAATTGTCGCAATAAAACATAAGTGGAAAACTGTTCCCACCTCGTTCACCACTGTGTGTAAATAGTTATCATCAGACCTGCTCTGATATTTCTGTATTTTTGTTGTTACATGTATAATTATGTTTTCAGGACATTGAGCATTTTTAATCTGGCAGCGCTCAGAGAGTCTGCTTTTCAGGGTTCTACAGGCTTCACAAAAATGTAAGTAATTTTGGTTACTTACTGTAAGAATGGGTTTGCTCCAACATTGGAGCTCGCGCTATTCCACTGACTTGACTTGACACTGGACTTACTCACGACTGCCATCCAGAGCACACGAGAAGTCCATCAAACCTTCGACTCGGCAAACCTGCAAGAAAGCACCTCTCACCTACGAACAACACTAACATTCTCAAATGCACTCATCTGCTAGCTAGTCCTGATTGTTGCAATTCGTATTTAGACTCTTCTTTCACTGTCATGCGCCGTGGTCCGCATCAGTTGAGCTCGAGCAGGTTGAGGAAGATTGTGCCTGAAGAGCACCATTTATTCATGCATATGGCCGATTGGTTTGCAGGCCTGCCTGCGAATCATGAGGTCCCGAGTTCGAGACCCGCGCTGGTAGCAGGGAGCGTGTAAAGACTTTTTACGTGAGTAAAGACTTTTTATGCGTGGTGAACTGCGCCGACACCCACGGTCAACTGGATACTCACAGCTCGGAGTGAGGGTAATAAGGATGCAGTTTACAGGGTTATGGGCCGTTACACGCCCGATTGGTTGAGAGACTCACCTACTCTCCCCTGACTCACTTGTGAGGTCTGCATTCGCCACTAAGGTGTGCAAGGCATAGGCATAGTGGTGGCCTGCGGAAGCGAAGGCTAGTTTGTGTGTTTCTGAACATTCAAGCGATGCCAAGGCGAATCCCGCGAATTATTTTTATTATTATTAGTGCTCTCCAAGCACAAACATCACCAGGGATTCAAAATTACAGTGATGCTCCGTTTCCAGCGCGACAAACACCTGGTGAGCACCAGATAGCAGCGTAATTTTGTGTTGCTCCTGGATGGTGAGAACACAAGTAGAGGACCCTGGGTCATTCACAACGCTGTAACCTCCAAACCAGCTACTCAAATGCCCGCGCTGGGCACAACAGTACGAAATAGTGGTTGCGACTTTGGCGATGATTTTCCTGGTGATGTTTGTGCCTGGAGAGCATATCATACACTTGGCAACGTTCAGGACGAGGTACCAAATGATTAGACACAGAAGACTTACGAGGTCGAAACACACGTCCACACTCACTTTCCCACTGTCCCATACCCACGATCTCTCCCTCACTCAACTCACCGCTGGAATCTCCGCCTATTACGATCACACCAGAGCAGTTCAGGACAAGACAAAAGGGGAACAGTTGACTTCAAGATCAAAGCTAGAACGCTGAACTAGAATGGCAGGGAAACTCAGCAGGCCAACGGAAAAGCATGCGCACCTGATACAAACTTAGAGTAGAGGAGTAGAAAGATAATGATCTATCACGTGAGGCAGCTCACTAGTAAGGATATCATATCCCTCCACCATTAGATGAGGAACACCTAAAGCACTAGTATAAGAAATGAGTTCACTATAATTTGTTGCTGATACGAGAAGCGAATTCAATGTAACACACTAAGTGCCGCAGTTGGCGGGGGCCTCCGCAACAGCCAGGTTCTTGGTGCCGCGTGGTGCAGTGAAGACGCAAGTGTTTCGTTTGAGATTGTCCGGCGAGATCACTAACCAGGATGGCGGCGTGGTTGAGCTGCTTGTTTTAGCAGAGCGTGATGAGTGGGCCATACTGGCTAAAAAAACTTCAGAAGGCTCTCGCCAGTTCAAGGACTGCACTGGGTGTCCTCCGTGAGTAGACAGTATCGTTTAAAGACTAACAAAAGCTTGCATACACAGAGCTCCGAAATCTGCATCCACCTCCTAGTTGCACAAGTTTGGTTTTTTGTTGTTGTTGTTGTTGTTTCAAATTTGTATTCTCACGATACCCAGTGGCCAATAATAGTGTAAGAAAGGAGAAAGAGTGAGGAAGAATTGGGTGGGCAGGGCCTAGGGGTTAATGACTACTTAAGTGTACGGGCAGGGGTGGTCGCCACACGAGCATACAAAGTTGTGTACTTAAGAGAGCATGTCTGAGAAAACCAGAACATATGTGCAAGTCCATCTCTCAGATTTTGCTCAAATTTTGCAGGTAGGTTTGCTTTGGGTTGTAGATTGACATTCCAAAGCCCGCGCAAAATCTTTTGAAGGGAACCATGAAATTGGCATACTCCTCAATATTGGCCCAATATTGACACGATTTATGGGTCTACAAACGAGCCACCGCACAGCGTAAAAGAACAAGCTATGAACAAAACTCCATTAAGCCAACATTACCTCACCTTAGAATAGTTTTTGGGGCAGCATCACTTAGCCACGCCAGCATCCCAGAAGACGAGGGCAATCATCCCTTGACGCCACAAATGATCGTCCCTGAAAATAGCTAAATTACAAGCGCTGATAAAACAGCGAGCTATGTCCTCAATTAGCAAACACTATACACCGGCAGATAGTAGAACACCTCTTCTAGCACTGAGGACATGTCCCCCATCATCCTTTTTGGGTTTTCTTGAAATAAACAATTTTGAATTTTTCCACTCGACCATTCTGAAATACGTCCAAACTCATACCTGCGCAGGAAAGCTCGCCCCTCCGCGACGTCTAGTCAGCAATTTCTACTCCAACACCACTCGCAACGCTGCAGAACAAAGTGTATTGTTGACTCTGACAAGGAAAAGCAGCGGTGATTACTTGTCACTCCAAACGACAAGCTTCTCCTTGCGCCAGCAACATTTTTCGGTGCAACAGTTGATGCAAAAGTGACTGAATTTTTGAGTGTAGTTTTTGGATTTTACTGCAAGAGGAATGATGAAATCACGTGCCTCATGCCTCATGATGGGGGACATGTCCCCAGTGCTAGAAGAGGTGTTCTACTATCTGCCGGTGTATAGTGTTTGCTAATTGAGGACGTAGCTCGCTGTTTTATCAGTGCTTGTAATTTGGCTATTTTCAAGACGATCATTTGTGGCGTCAAGGGATGATTGCCATCGTCTTCTGGGATGCTGGCGTGGCTAAGTGGTGCTGCCCCAAGAACTCTTCTAAGGTGAGGTAATGTTGGCTTGATGGAGTTTTGTTCGTAGCTTGTTCTTGGACGCTGTGCCGTGGCTCGTTTGTAGACCCATAAATTGTGCCAATATTGGGCCAATATAAAGGGGTATACCAATTTCATGGTTCCCTTCAAAAGATTTTGCGCGGGCTTTGGAATATCGATCTACACCCCAAAGCAAACCTACCTGCAAAATTTGAGCGAAATCTGAGAGATCGACTTGCACATATGTTCTGGTTTTCTCAGACATGATCTCTTAAGTGTACGGGCAGGGGTGGTCGCTACACGAGCATACAGAGTTGTGCAACAGTAGGGATATCTCGGATTTGAAGGGAGTACGAGAAGGGATTTCGCGAAGCTGGGTGGGCAGGCAATTAAAGTAATGAAGGGCCTTGTATAGGGGAGAATGGAGACAGCTGTCAGTCCGCGGAGTTGGCAAGTGCCAAATACGAGAGCGACGTAAATTATACGAAGGTTGCACGTTGCTAGCAGTATGCAGCGAGAGTATATGTGGTGGGGCATAATTGTGGCGCAGAGAATGCGCGAAGAGTATATGTTTAACGTTAAAGCGTGAAAATAGTGTTGGCCATTTGATGCGATGCAAAAGGTGGGAGTGTTCTAAGTGTGTGTAAAGGGGAAGGTGGAGACATATTCTGGCGGCTTTCCGCTGGAGTCGTTCTAGCCTGTCAAGGGAAGTGTGGGACAACGGTGTGAGAGCATTGCTCGCATATGAGAATATAGGTAGTATGTATGTCTGATAGATGTGAGATAAAGAATCACTGGTGAGTGTAGACCTTAGTCTAAAAAGAATATTGAAAGACTTGAGTGATTTTTTAACTATGTATTCAACATGCTCCATCCAACGAAGGCCATGCTGCAAGATTATTCCGAGGTGTTTGTGTTGTTGTGCTACGGTTAGCGGACTATTCCTGAGGGTGATCTGGGGTAGCTGTTCAGGGGGGCGGTTATTGTGGTAGAACGGGAGGATGACTGTTTTCTTTGTGTTAACCAGCAGGTGCCATCTTTGAAGCCAGTCTCCAGCTGCTGTGACACTCTGTTGTAGGTTTCGGGTGCAGTCTTGAAGCGTTCTCGCTATGGAAATTAGAGCGGTGTCATCTGCAAATTGGCTACAGGTGGTGCCGGGATTCTCACATGCGTGTGGAAGGTCTATGGTGTAGACGAGGAATAGAAGCGGTCCAAGAACAGATCCCTGAGGGACGCCGGCAGGGATCTCTAGGAAAGGCGATAGGTCGCCATCCACCTGGACCCTTTGCCGACGCCCCAACAGGTACCGTCGGAACCACTCCAGGGCGTTGCCCTGGACACCATAGTGGGAGAGTTTTGCTAGAAGGCCTGCATGCCACACACGATCGAAGGCCTTGCTTAGATCGAAAAAGCAGGCATTGACGTGTTTCCCGTCGTCTCTCGCAGTGGAGAGGGTATGGACGAGACAGGCGAGTTGCTGCTCAGTGCCGTCTTTCTCACGGAATCCGGACTGCTGGTTGGGTAGGTGGGGTGTGATGTGCTTGTAGAGGAGTTGATGTGCAATGTTTTCTTTGATTTTTGATGTAGTGCTCAAGAGAGAGATGGGTCGGTAATTTGTTGGTTGTGTTGGGTCACCGGGCTTCGGTACTGGAGTAATGGTGGCATCTTTCCAGTCCTGTGGGATTTCTCCGGTTTGGAACGATAGATTAAAGAGGGATGATAACGACGGTGCAAGTTCCTTAGCCGCTTCTTTGAGTAGGCGGTTTGGAATAGAGTCGAACCCGGGGCTTTTATTGGTATCAACTCCGCGGAGGAGTTTTTCGACCTCAGCCTGGGAAGTCGAGATTTCTTGAAGGGACTGAGGATGTCAGGGGTGGTGTTGATGGCTGGAGTTTGCTCATCCGCATTGTCCACGGACAGCTTGCTCTGTGAAATGAAGAATTCGTTGAGGGCAGCGGCTTTTTGTGCTGGTGTCGTTGCAGGAGTTGCTTGGCTGACGAGTTCGGGTATGCGTTGTTTTGTAGCTGTAGTTAGGTGCTTCATGAGGCGGTGT